CTTTAGCCTTTCCAAAGTTAACGGCGACCTAGAGGTTCATGTAAGTTTGTTGGTAACAATTAGCTGACTGTTCTGTTAAAAAGTTGCAAAAAGGCTGATAATCACCAATGCTAGTTTTGAAACAACAAAAATATAGACATAAACTAGAAGGTTACTCTTTAAGCACTTAAAAATGAGATCGGCTTGCAACGGCGATTATCCGAAATTCCAGAAAAGAAAATGAAACAGGAAGAAGTAAGACATTTTCCAATGTCTTTGTTTTCTAAAATTAAGCTAGATCGCTTTGGGTTAATTAGAAGCCATTTTGTTAACGAAAGACTAAATATGAACTTACTATCATCTGGATCTAACTGCTTGGTTTGCTTGCACTTATCGGAACATTTTCAAATGTCATTAAAATTACATACATTCCGGCATGTGTCTTCCTAAATTTGAACTACCAAACACTTAACGCTTCGATATACGAGTTTTTTATGTGGCATTTTATGACTGTGAACTAGAAAAAAGGAACTTGCAACCAAGTGCGGCACTAAATTGACGGACACTATTTATTTGAGGTGCGTTTGTTTGCAGTTTATGTATGCATGCATGTATAAGAATGCAAGCTTCTAGACAAATCTCGTTTGCGCGCAGCACTTGACCTCACCTTAAACAAGTCAAAAATGTCTACATTGCTTACAACAACAGCAATGTGCGTCATGAAAGTACAAATATTATATATATATTGAGAAGTCTCTCAACCGCCTTTACGTTTTCGGTTAAGAGCCCTTTGTTGCATGCAGCAAGCGGCCATCAACCTAAATGAAGACATAATTTGACATAAGTGACGTCAAAGTTCAACTTAAAGACCATTCACAGCTAAGTGCATTTAAATTAACCAACAGACAAGACTTAGACGCTACGCGGCACGCAGTGGACTACAGTCGAATTCGACGCGCTGATGAACTGAAGTGCTCCAATAGTAAATTGCTGATGTTGTTGTTGGTAGTAGAAAAATGTTCGACACACCCACTAAACAAAACAACCCAAAAATCGAAGACGTTGAGATGGCAGGCAGCTGTAAATGAAAAAGTGGCAGACGAGTGAGTGCCTTAACACTTCGATGAGCTGAACTTGCAACATTTCGTCTACACGGTCGTTTGCAATATTTCTGCGGTCCGATATTTTTTGCTAACCACTTATTGCTGTTGCGTCTTTGTACCACTCATACCACCAAACATATTTACTTATATTGAATGCCACAACAATAGGTGTCAATCCATACGCGCGCCAAGGCATCATAATAAAATATTGCCGGTATGCGCTGCGTGCTGCATCATCTATGCTACACAAAAAAACGCATTGCTGCTTGACGTGCTCGGTTATCTGTCAAATATGCGATTAATCTCAATCAAAAATGTCGACAACAGTGATGAGCTCGGTGCGCATGCACACTTGTCCAGCGCGCGCCTGAAATTTTTTTGTTTGCTTTGTGCGCGCTGTTGTTGTCATCATCAGTGAAACATTCAGCGCGACGCACGAGGTCCATCCGCGGGCAACATATGCGCATCAACGTCAACACTCGCATTGATTATACGATGGACAACAAGTTTTGTGGCCGTTGATGAAGTTGCACACACATATACTTTGCGTTTGATATGACGAATTGCTCCAGCGCATTGCTATGGCAAATCAAAGGCGTCCCCCGCCTAGCCGCGCCTTTACTTATTGGCTGGCATTGTGGCGGGTTTTCTTACTTCACAGCCATTTGTGGTACTTGTGGCATGCAGCGAGCCAGCACTTTTGCCGTGTGCCATAATTGAGATATGAACTCGGCAATTTTTCATTGCGTTCTACGCGCGTTTTCTTACACTTCAAACGCAGTCTGCGCGCACTTATTGCGAAAGCTGAAGCGGAGCAAAAGCAAAGTCACTGCAAGTTAGTGAAGTTGCCATGCAGCTAGTCAAGCATCAAACTGACTGCATAAATGCTGTTGGTTTTGTTGTTGCGTTGCCAACGATTCGATCATTTGCGCGTAAAAGTAGACAAATGAAGTAAATAGATCGAATAGCGCGCATGGGCATATAGATAGTTGTACCAAATGGCTTCGACGCGCTTGCACTGCGGTACGCAAAGGTGTCCTTTATATGTGAGTAAGCAACGCGCGCACACTAAGATTGTCTGCCTTCGGAGCTATTGGCTTCTAAGTATCTAACCGGTTGGTTGTTTCTCGAGATGACTAGCCACTAAGTCCATTCATTCATCCGACTATACCGTGCAACACCAACACACGGGCGCATCTTAAAATAACTTAATTGTCACTCAATTACTCAGTTTTCAGCTAAAAGCATTCATTTCTTTGGCTTAGCGTCAAACGCCGACCGACAGCGCGACGCAAAGTGAAGTTGAAAACAACACAACGGTGTAAACTGCTGCTACATCTAACATATGACTTATTTAGCTTTAGTTTGGTCTCGATTCTTGCTTTTGTTGTAGTTTTAACACTTGCACATGCTGCGTTTCAGTTTTTTCTTTGCTACGTATTTTTTTTTGCTTTTGTGTTTGTTGCTACGCTTCGCGCGTGAATAATTGTATGGAACGAAGTGTGGCATTTTGTTCTCTCATCTTCTCGGTTTGAATGGAAATTGATGAGGTGCGACAGTTTTTGACCAAAGGGCAAGGGGCGTGGACACTGCTAAGCTCTTTATGTATATTGAAGGAAAGCCAAATGCAGCTGCCTGCATTTTCTATAGTATATAGAATATAATTAAAAAAAGGAGTTTTTTGATAAGAATTTTTATAACTAGTTGATTACTATTTTAAAAATTACTTTGTAATATTTTGTTTGAATTAAAATCATATGGCAACCGTAAAATTTTTTTTATGTTAACATGAAATGTTTTGCCGTTTTTTTATGTTGCAGTGTCTCCGATTTGAACGTCATATAATACGAAGTAAAAATAATTTATTAAATAATGTTTGCTAAATATCTTTAATACTTGGCAACTCTTACTTGGGCAAAATATCATCTTATAATCATGTTAAAGCTTTAGTCTTCTTCTTTTTTTTTTATATAACTTTATATAATTAGCTGTCGCAATTAAAAAAAATCTATTAATATAATAAATACGTGGCAACTCTGGCCAATAAATTTCCACACACTTTAATTTTTTTTCCATATATGTATTTTTTTAGTATTTTTTATATCTTGGGAACTCTAAAGAAAATTAAATAGTTTTTAAACGGAGGAGGCAACCCTAACCAACTTTTTTTTTATATTACGTGGTAATTTGTTTAGCCTCAGTCAACAAAAAATTTACAATAAAAACAATTTACTACTTTTTTATACGGCAGAATTAAAGCTAAAAAATGGGAGTAAAAATTCACAAAAGGAAATTATAATAAATATTCAATTTGCCTGGTAACCCTAGTTAAGAAATTTTGAATTTTATCCAGATTCTTAGGAACGTTCTCTTGCCGATTGATGACATACTGTCAGACTTTTTTCTAAAGCATATGGCAACCCTGGCATGGTAAATCTAGACACAATATTTCTAAATTTTTTCTTATTGCCAGTTTTTAGGAATGTCTAGGGGCACGAGATCTGCCGATTAATAACATACAATCAGAATTAATTATAAAATATATGGCAACACTGATTGAAAATTTTTTGTTTTGTAAAATGTCTGGAACAACATATTTTTTATAAAGATTTATATATTATAAGATTTATAATTGGGAAAATAAAATTATTATCAATCACCTTTTATAATATGTTGCTATGGTAACTTTGTTTGCGTAACGCTTATTACAAGTTACAAGAAAGCTATCTAGAATCTGAAATCTAATTTAGATAACAAAATATTTAGAGTTGAAAAAGAGATGCAGTTTTTGATGCCAAAAATTACTTAATTTTTTAAAAATTTGCCATAAAAATATATATCCCAACCTAATTTACACTACAATCCTCTAAAAATGGTCAAAAAATGTCTAAATCAGCAACCACAACGGCGTCAAAGTCATCAAAATCGAAACGGGCGATAAACAAAATATGATTTACCGACGCCGCCGCCTCACACTAACAGCGAACTGCAGCTCAAACATCAGCACTCTTTGTAATCAAAATGCACCCAAACGGTAGGAGACAGCGTCAGGAGCTGGTCGCAATAAAATTTCGCGCTGCGCTCGTCCGCTGACAGCAATAACAGTTGAGATGAATAAATACTCATAAGTCGCAAAAAGTCGAATGTGCATCATATTCCTCATTGCCTGCATGTGTGTGCATGATGTTTTGCATTTGGCCACCTCAGGTGCCAGCGCCGCTGTAAAGTGTCAAAACACCAAGCGCTCGCCGACATTCAACAACAGCCATAGATCATCGTTTCTTATCGCGCGGCGCACCATCTACGTGACCGCAGCATGAGCTCATCGCCTGACTGCTTGCCCGATTGGCTACCTGCTTGGCTGCTAGTTGTCTGGGCTCACCGGCGCTGATGCTGACGCTGGCGACAGTGGACAAGTCAGTCTGCCGTTCAGTCATTCGCGCCCCAGCGCTGACCTGCCACATCGCGAAGTAAGGTCTGCTTACACTGCGAGTGGCTTTGTATATATTTCCAAATATACGTATATATACAAGTAGGTATATAGATGTGCGACATTTTGTTTATTAGCCTGCATCGTTGCAAGGGTTATCAGCTGTTGAGTGCAATCTGCCTTCGAACAGCAAATTTTTGTTGAGATTTCGTTTCTGTTATTCATGAGCTTTCTTAAGTAATTTCCAAATTGTTTACAAACAATGCCGTTATAAAAATTTTCGTATACTATATATACGAGTATTAGTGATTATTAAAAGTGAATAACAGATACGTAGGGGCTCAGCTGTAAGACTTCAGTATGTCGTCTTTCGCTTTGGAAGTATGTGTATAAAAACGAAGCCAAGTTAAGCCAAGTTTAGAGTCGAGTTTCGAACTTGTCTTCGGTTTGATCGGAACAAATCGATATATTCTTAATTACAAAGTCTCTTTAAAAACAGATTAATTGCCTTTATTCTTCTACTACATATAGACAATAAAGCCTTTAGTTAAGCCCAGGCTCAATTATGCCTACTAATATATGTATCCAAAATTTTTCGCTAATATTTATGTAATATAACGTTCTTTTTTTCTCGTATAAACTTATCAATAATCAAAGTGCGCTTTGTGGAACAGTGGGTTCTTCTGGAACCCAGATGGAAACTATCTTTTCTTAAATTTTCAATAACCTTGAATCCTACATTGCCAAATACTCCTTGTTGAATCGTTCCGAAACACATTTGTTGCTAAAATGTGGACTGAGACTTCGTCAATTAAACCAACATATGGTTCTCTTGGTAATGGACTATTCCAAGATCCCTCAAATGGTGAAATTTCCGTTGCTTCATAAGGCGCATACAATTTAGGCGTTAAGTTAATGTTGCCTTGTTTCCCGTTGAGATGTGATCTTTTAGAAATAGAATTAAGCACGCCAGATTGGAATGATGAGAGAGCTACTACTTGCTTATTAAAACCTGTCTCGGAACTATCTGCGATTTTTGTATGTCCTAAAACATGTTCATTCATAGAGAGCGAAAAAAAAGCATGAAAAGACTGGGTTGAAACTCGTCATACAACCGTAAACCATTGAGGGCTTCCGCTTCAAATCCAAAGCTATTCGGCTTAGCTCAAAAAGTCTCTCTACTGTTACTTTTTTGTAAAAGTAGGTCCATTGAATAAACCGTAACCTTTCTTCCATTAAGCTGTCACAATGAAGAATAGAAATACAGAAATACTTCAATACAAAGCTTTGAGAAACATATAAATTTTTCAGTTAGTACACTAACCAAAGCGGGAAGCTCGCAAAATTGATCCTGGTATTCCTTATATGTTAAGACTTCGGAAGCATAAGGATTCTGCACCTTAAACAATGAAAGTTCACATGTTACAGGTTAAAATATATACATATATATTATATTATCACATTACTTACAGGTTTTCAGCATCTCTTCCTGAATTTTGTACAATTGGCAATGCAAAACAACTTCACGCTTGCAATCTCGCAGAGCTTTTGAAAAAGCTTTGTTTGCTATTCATGATGCCGCACAGAACTGTTGGCATCAGACGCATTTATCTGTGACATTGCACTTAGAAACTAGAACGAAATGAAAATAAAAGCGAATGTCAAGTTCAGAAAAGCTTACAGCTTGTCTCGATTAGCAAAAAAAAAAAAACAAACAACAACCGCACAGCATTGCACTATTTATTTTTAGTATGCAATCGAGTACGCCAACAAACACGAGCACTCTTGCGAATACAAAATAAATAGAGCAGTGAGATGCGCGCGTTACAACACGCACTCGAGCGCGCGCTCATTCTACGGCGCACTCGCTCAAAGAGAGCAAAACACGACATTATAACGCGCGCTGAAGGGTGGCAAAGCGTAGTTGGTGATGTGAGGGTGGGACCCCGCTAACTGCTGCCGCTTCAGCATGTGATGCTACAGTTGGCGCGCGCGAGCTGTGCGTTGCTAATGCACTTACGACCGGCGCTCGTTCAACTGCACGACTTTATTGCAGTGATCGTGCGGTGATCGACGAGCGCGCTAAAAACTAAAAACAATAATTAAAAAGCTCGCAACGAAAAAAAGCATAACAAATGCGCGGCGATAGCCACTTACTGGCACATTATGCATTGCCTTAGAGCGCGCTACGGTGTTCACATCTCAGCGCTGTGCGTTGTGCGGGCGCACTGTTGTTGGCGTATATTTGCAATAGCGCGCGCTTATGTAAGCACACACAGTCATGCATTACCATGTGCGCCCCCTCTCAAGCGCCTTGTTTGTTCCGCCTTTCACTTCGGTGGCTGCTGTTGAGGGAGCGCTCGTTGTCGCGCCATTCGCTTCGCATGCTAGCGTAACTTTTGCGTAAGTGATCGTGATTAGCTGCAGCATTGGCAACGAAAACAATGCCAACAACAAGAATTATTTATTGCAGGCGCTGCTGCTGTGTGGGAATGTGTGTTTGTAGGCGACGCGCACCAAACAGTCGCATGTAGCGACGCTCACTTTCGTCCACTGCTCGTGCGCTCACTGACAGTTGGCGAATGTCGCTAGCGCTATGTGGCGGCTGCAGCGTATGCGTCGCCTCAGAACAACGCTCGACCTTGACAATGAAAATTGCTACGCGCTGTTGTTATTGTTGCTGCTATTGTATAGCGATATTTTCGCTTTTTATTTGTGCCTTGCATTCGAACGCTTTTGCGATACGAGTCGCTGCTGCTACAGTGCCGTTGGTGTCTGTGTGTTGGTATGCGGTTTTCTGTACATTTTATTATTCGCAATTTTATGGTGTTTCTCAATTTAATTTAATGCCGTGTGGTAGGTGTTATTGTGTTGCAAATACTTTTTTATTTTAATAGTGTTTTCTTTTTTTTTTGGCTCTTTTATGTTTTGTAGCATTTTTTTATTGGTGTTGTTGCATTCGTTGTTGGCAAAGTGTTTCGCGTAGTTTCGCAATTGTCGAGTGAAATTATTTTCGCTTTTCATTTTGCACACACACACACACACACACCTTATGACATGCTTACAGATCTACTGTATCTAAATAAGTAAATTTTAGTCAGTTTTTTATTTTTGAACGTGAAACTTTTTTCACAAAATTCAATTTACTTTTTAATTATTCCGGCCTTTATTTAACCAGTAAATCAATTTTCCATATTCTAACTCGAAATTTGCATAAGCTAATAGTTTATTGTGCAATATTATGTATGAATAGCTTGCACGCTTGTACTCTTGGCAAGTAGTAGGTGTTTTTTATGTGGGTGTGCGCATTAGGGTTGTCCCGAGATAGACTTAAGTTTTATTATAAAGAAATTTAAGTCGGTCCTGAAGTTGAAAATAGTTTAAAAGCAGTTTAGTATTATTTGTGTAAATATGCGACACTAAAATAAAGTTAAAAATTAATTTAAAAAAATTTAAAAAAAATATTTCTAAAACTTTCTAATAGACAAATTTTTAAATTCAATTCAATTGGTTGATTCGATTTTTTGACGTTCAAACATACTATTATCAGGAAAGCATTACCTCTGAAATTCAATAATATATCTCATATATTACCTGGTATTTTCTGGGAGCTTGAACAATTACGATCCGATTTTGAAAAAATTTAGAGTGAACCGTAAAGAAACTATTCGTGCAAAGTTTTATCCCGACATATTCATTGGTGCTTGATTTGTGTGTTGGCGGGCCTATCGTCCAATTTTGGGACCGCCATCTATAAGGGAGATATTGTACCATCCCGTATGTTAAACTTACCGCAGTTTTCGTAGTTTTTAACAAAACCGTTATATGGGTAGTGGGCGGAGTTATCATCCGATATCACACCTATAAATCAATAGCGGGCAAATCATCCCCACTTTTTAAAGATTTTGAAGCCAGATTGCTATTTTGTATCTTATTTTCTGACACTTTTTACGTTTTCAATTAATAGGGTTTAGTGGGTATGGCAGTGGTCCGATTACGCCCAATACAGATCTTTCTATGGTGCCAAGAAATAGGTGTACCAAGTCTCATCGATATCTTAATTTTTTTACAACCCTGTATGAAAACTTGATTTTAGTAGGAGCTCAGAACAACTTTAAATTTAAAAAACGTAAAGAATTGTGGAGCACCATATTTTTCTAAAGCCTCAATACTGGCTTTAGTCGAGAGAATAGAGCCAACTTCATCTTTCCAATGAATGACTCAGAAAGTTTTAGTAAATATTTTCACATAAATTCTCAGTCTTAATGCGAGCTATGCTGAAGGTTTTTTTTATGACAGCTAGGGTTGCCAACTTAGTAATATGTATATTAGGAATAAGGACCTCCAGCGATTATCTGGTCAGATTCTAGCATTAGTTTTTAATCCAAAGTTACAATAAGTTAAAAAACAGACAACCGTTTAGTTAATATAAAAATTTAAAACAAAAAAATAAAAATACAAATGAAAAAAACGAATAAAAAGAGAAATATTTCAAATAAAATTAAAAAAAAAATCAAGTCAAATTAAATTAGACAATTACAATTGATTTTTGTTTGGCAAGCAAAACTTTCGCTGACAAAGGAAATGTCTAATGTCTTGTCTGTTTCCTTATATACTTGTACGCTGGCAAAGGCTCAAGAAACGTGAGACCACAATATAATTGGTTCTCTTTTTTGTGCCTTTGTAAATAAGTAATTCCTCTCTGTGATCGACTATCGCCCAAGGTTAAGATCAAGAAGGAGTACAATCTTAAAATAAAATATTTGTCCAATTCTTCATGAACTTGAGTTAAGCCCTTTATGCCTTGCGCCCGCTAAGTTGAAGGTGTGTATGTTGATGTGCGTAACTGCACTTAAACAAAGCAATTTCACAGCGAAACTGATAAAGCAGCCGCTAGCAATAAACGAAACAGTCGTAATCAATTCAGCAGCTTACCCGCCTGAACGCGCGCTCGTCTGTGAGCGCCTACAAACGTTGTTCGCTTTTCGCTTTTCCACTATTTGCTATTTTAGCTATATATTTTACTTTCACACTTTTCTGTGCTTAGGTATTTACACATCTTTTTATATTTTAACGATCTGGTGTGCAGCGCCTAACCGCAGCGTTTAGTTTGCTCAACCCGCTCGTCTTGACGCGCTACTACTGCTTATATATGGTTTGTTGACCAGCCAGCGCTGCACAAGATGCGTCAGTAAATGTTTGGCAGTTAAACTAAGCGCGCGCACGCCAAACATTGTTCGCGGCGTCGCCGATCAACTAACTAATGCTTGCTTGCCAAAAATTTGCATTCACTCTCAGCGCTCTCCAGAGCGCGGCGCAAGCGATGCCATCGTGCACATACGAACTGCATGAAAATTCTTGAACTTGTATCGGTGAGCGAGAACTATCACAAAACATAAGCACACACACACACATATTCGCGCGCGCCTGCCAAGGCACTGCATTTGACAACGGCCACTAAGCACCGGACGGACAGTTGCAACTATTAATCGGTCGTTGAACGACGTGGCGTATACGTAACGTCAGTGCGCGTATTTCCTAGCGTAACAGCTGCAGCCACTTGTGTGTTTTATGTCCTGTGTGCATTGAACTCGCTTATGTCTAACGCCCGCCAGCGCATATACTTGGCAAACTGGCGCGCTGTAAGCGTTTGTGAATTGTATGCGCATAATTTTTCTCTAGCTACAGCTGGGTATTTAAAAATCGTCACTTTTACCCACACCGCCTGCCAACTATTAACCTTGAAAGCTCCGCATGCACGCGCGTCACTATCAGCGCGTTTCTACTATGTACAACCGTCACACGCGCTGCAGCTAGGGGCGGCTCTTACGCTTACGCTTAGGCACGTTTTTGGGTAAACGCGCACAGTGATGTTATTGTTGTGTTGAAAAAATAAAATCGAAAATTTTCTAAAACTCAATATTACGTGGCTATTAAAAAATGCATAAGTTAACACGAAAATTAAAATGAGTATTGAAAATAATTAGAGCAGCAATAATAATAATAATAAGAATTGTGTAAACAGCGATTATCTAAAGTAAAGTTGTGCTAAAAATAGTTGAATAATAGTGCAAGAAATTCGTAGAAATACACGAAAAAGCTAAGCGCTTCGCTGGCAAACGTGCGAATATGCGAAATTCCTGTGCGACCCCATTGCGAAAAAAGCCCATATTTTCCGTGCAAACGCGTTCGCGTCGCTGTTTCAACGCTGCCGTGTGAGCCGCTGGGTTGGCGTAATTGCCGACGTCGTCACGTCGTTGCGCTCGCCTGTGCGCGTCCGTGTGAATAGCGCAAATTGTTTGCGTATTACTGCCGTAACTATTCTTATTGTTGCTATTGTTGTTGTTTTTTGTAATGCAACTGTGGCTGTGACACCAACGCCTGTCCACCTCTTCCACAACGATTTTTTTTTTTATAGCTACTGCCACCCGTTCCGCGCGCGCACCTTGCCCCTGTGTTCGCGTCACACAGTTCTCGTCGTTTGAATGCCTGCGTCTACGGCGCATCGCCTGCTGTCGCGCCACTGCCATGCCAAACTAGTACTATGCCACTAGTTTGCTGCAGCGCGTATGCACTATTCCCACAAAACGATTCAAAGTGAACGCACGAAAAAAATTCGAAGAAGCGCAAATTAAACAAGTGCAAAAATATTACAATTTAGAAAGTAAAAGTTCTGTGCAATTGCGTGCGCGTGGCAAACGATCCTCGTTGCTGATCGTTTGATTTTTTTTTCTTGATCTCCTTTACGCATCAGGGTACGGCGTCGGCGTTTAGTCGCGTTTTGCTGTACATTTGAGCGGTTATCTTAGAACCAGTCTACGCACGATCTTGTGTGTGTTGCGTGTGCGTGTTTGTTGGTGTTGCCTGCTGCATTTGCAACAAGGGTGAGTTAGCCTATGAAAAACTTTCCTTTTTTATTATTTCTAGGGAAAAATCTATTTCCGTATTTGGCCATAAGCTGCAATGATTTACTTTCGCTTTTATTTATACATTGGTTTCTATGTATTTTTTATACC